GCCCCCGGCGCGCGCGCCCCGGCTCCTGCCCCGCCGGAGGAGCCAGTCTTTTGGGGGTTCACGGAACTTTCTTTCTGAAATTATACAATTCCTGCGGCGCGGCCGGCGGCCGAGGACCGCCGAGCAGGGAGCCCCCTTTCCGGCCACAACCCGCCGGGTTGAGAGACGGAGGATTAAACGTGCGCTCTTTCCAGGCCTCCCGAAAACACTCTCAGGGATGCTGTTTTGCTTGGGCCTGGGTCTCTCCCGCGCCGAGTTGCACAACAAACCGTTTAAACATTTCACCACAAAACCCAATCCATTGTGGGCCGCACATTAAAAAGTGTTACTCGCTTTGAAGTTTTTGTCTACTGGCTCTAAACTGAAAGAAAATGTTTTCCTATTACTTAATTCAATCATAGCGAAGAGACTTGGTAAAAAGCCCACGGATTTTGCCCCAAAGTGTGACAGAGTTCTCTTTGTGTTTGCTTATCCTCCGCTGTCACACACTTTAATGCGCCTCTCTTTATCTGGCTTTCAAAACTTTCTTCAATGACATTCAATAAGGTCCAGAGGCTGGAGAGGAAAAAAAAACTGGTTATTTCCCCCCCTCCCCAGATATTCTTTCCCAGTGCTTTGGCCTTGCTCGCATTCAGGGGCTCTTAACCCCTTCCTCCCCGGGCACGGGCTGGGACTCCCTGGAGAGGTCTGCACTGACCCTTCGCGGGCTCCCGGCCCCTGGGCACAATGGCGGCCCCTCTCACCCCGCAGGGTCCCGCCCGCACTCTGCCCAGTGGGGAGCCCCTCTCCCAGCCCAGGTCCAGTTCTGGACTCAGTCTCCATGGTCCAGGCCAGCCCAAATTTCCCAGAGAGCAATTAGAAGGGGCGTTAAGCTGCACTGGTGCACTCTGACTTGTTTGCAAACACCACTTAGAGTGGGGAGCCTTGGCGACGAGAGGGAAGCAATGGACCTCTGCCTCCCACGCGAAACAATCAAGGAAGCCCTGAGCCCTTACTCCTGCTGCTGGAGGACAGGCCCTCGGTCCAGGTTATTTTCCCCACTGCCCCTCTCTCATTTATGGAATCCGTCATTTTCTCTACAACACATTCTCTTTGCTTTTAAATCAGCTATAATTTGTTGCTGTCTCTTGTTATTGCAAAGATATCATCAATAATGAAAAGCCATGTAAATGCTTCGATTTGGGGCTGTCTTATTCCGCTGTACTGATTCCCCCATCCAGAAAGCTTCCCCTCTCCATCTCTCACAATTCCTTTCAAGGCTCAGAGCAGGTGACTGCAGCAACTTGTTTCCAATAAAATCGAAAGTAAAGGTCTCCCATGAAAAGTCTTAGGCTGTAAATTCGAAATATTTATGCTAATTTCCTATTGTATGGAAAACGCTCCTGGGCAAAGCAGCTTTGAGCCCAGAGGATGATTTTAAAAGCTGAAGCTGTGTACACAACGCCGGGCGTTTGAAGTTGTTTAACCATTGTGTGACCAGAAAGAAGAGAGTGACGCGGCAGGAGCAGGTCTTGGGGACAGGGGAGCTCGCCCGGGTGGGCGAAGGCAGCAGAAGCTGGGAGTACAATTGCCCTTCGAGCTGCTCCTCCAAGGTGAGCTTCAGGAAAGCAGTGGTTTCCCAGCACACCCACAGGTCTGTTGAGGTGTGCAGGAGCGCAGAGTGACCACGCTCTCCACATCTGGAGCGGTGTGAGATCTCAACGAGACAGGCTTCCCTCCTATTCCCTGTCTCTCTGTCCGTGATTCTCAGAAACTGTTTTCCTCTTTATATCCACAGCCATGTCGTTTGGAGGAAAGGGCTGGTTAACTAGCATCTCCCGAACAAAGACTGGGCATTATAGGCAGCATCAAAGTTAAGACTATTTGAGAAACTTAGCAAAAGCAGGGACAGCGATGGGGCTAGTGCTGGATAAGAAATACCGAGCCCTTCTCCTCTCTGCCCAGCGGCACCACCCCTGCAGGAGCCCTGGTCCTCCTGCTTCTGACACAGGGAGAGGGGAAGCGATTCCACAGGTGGAAGTCAGAGGCCCGCTGTGGGGACACCCGCGGGTTGCACAGCGCCGAGTTGAGCAAACTGAGTGGAGGCAGCCAGATCTTGGGGGCCAGGGAGGAATGAGAGAAAGAGAGGGACGCGGTCCGAGTGCGCAGAGAAGATGGGGGTGTGCGCCCATGGGGATCTGTGGAAGTGAGGCAGCGGGGGTGCAAAATGAATAAGATAAACGGGCCGATCGCCAATGCAAAGCCAAAGGGGAGTAAGGAATAAAGAGAAAGAAAAGAATATTAAATCGCAGGAGAATGAGAAAATAAACCCGCAAAAGGGAGAGGAGGGGGCGAGGGCGCCTGTTACGGCGTGGGTGGGGTTGACAAGAATAGAGTACATTATGCAGTTCATTTAGTTAACAAGTGAAATAATGAGGAAGCGTGCAGAGTGAATGCCAAGAGAAAAGGCACAAAAACCCTATTGAGAGGCCCCGGCCGCTCCTGGCGTAGCCCATCACATGGCAATAGTCCTATTTAAGCGGCGCCGCCGGCGCCTTTCAGCACCACTAGTGCTGGCCAGCACCCCGCGCTCTCTGGGCGGCGCCCTCGGCAGCAGCGGCGGCTCCTTCAGCCCCGGCCTCAGCAGTGCCTTCGGCCTCCCCGGAAGAGGCAGCTGCGCGCGGCCGCGGCCCGGGGAAGCGCGTGGAGAGCCCCGAAATCCGCGGGGCGCCGAGAGCGGGCTGGCGGCGGGACGACCGCGCACCGGGGCCATGCCGCGCTCCTTCCTTGTGGACTCGCTGGTGCTGCGCGAGGCAGGCGAGAAGAAGGCTCCGGAGGGCAGCCCGCCACCGCTCTTTCCCTACGCGGTACCGCCGCCGCACGCCCTGCACGGCCTCTCGCCTGGCGCCTGCCACGCTCGCAAGGCCGGCTGCTGTGCGTGTGCCCGCTCTGCGTCACCGCCTCGCAGCTGCTCGGCCCCCGGCTCCCGCGCTGCCTCTGCTCAAGGCGTCCTTCCCGCCTTTCGGCTCGCAATACTGCCACGCGCCCCTGGGCCGCCAACTCTCGGCCGTGC